GTATCCCCGGAGAGTTACTTAAAAGTATGGGAAATGGCTTGCTTGAATATGTGTCCGGGATAATAAAAGAAGTGATTCCGGAGGAATGGCAAACAGCGCTGATATATCCTATACACAAAAAGGGAGATAAGCAGTTGTGTGATAATTATAGAGGTATCGCTCTATTAAATGTTACCTATAAAGTGCTATCCAAATGTATATTAGACAGAATTAAGCCGTGGGCAGAAGATATTTTAGGAGATTATCAAGCAGGGTTTAGACAAAATAGATCTACCACAGATCAGATATTTATTTTGAAACAAATTTTCCAAAAAATGTGGGAGTTTGACAGGAAAGTACATGTACTGTTTATTGATTTCAAGAAGGCCTATGATTGCATACATAGAGAATCTCTGTTGAATGTACTAAGACAGTTCAAATTGCCCCAGATATTAATTAATCTGATAAAAGCAAACATCCTACACACGGAAATCAAAATTAAAGTGGGCAATATTGTATCACAAGGGATACCAGTATCGACTGGTTTGAGACAAGGGGACGCTATGTCACCCATACTATTTAATATAGCGTTAGAAAAGGTCATCAGGGAGAGTCGGATTGAAGAAAACGTAGTACGATTGGGAGATTGCATAATAGGAGTATTGGCCTACGCGGACGACATATAGTGTTACTTGCGGAAAATAAGGAAAATCTCAGGGAGCAAGCGGGAAAACTATTAGACACGGCAAAAAGAATAGGTTTAGAAATAAATGCTGAAAAAACTGAATACATGATCGTGCAGAGAAGAGAGCTCGCGGATCATGATCACCCATTTTTAGAAGTCGGGCAGTACAAGTTTCAGAGAGTGCAGGAGTTCAAATATCTGGGATCGATAATGACACAAAAAAACGATGAACTTAATGAAATAAAAGCAAGACTCCAATCCGGTAATAAGTGTTACTATACGGTCTAAGTAATTTGTTAAAGGCGAGGACGATATCGACGAACCTCAAGATACAACTGTATCGCACCCTCATCCGTCCAGTGGTAATGTATGGTTGTGAAGTATGGACWTTACGGAAATCAGATCAAAACAGACTACTGATATTCGAAAGAAAAATATTAAGACGAATCTTCGGACCGTGTATAGATGAGACCAYAGGGGAATGGAGAATTCGAAAAAACGAGGAGCTCAAACAGTTGTACCAAATGTCTGATATAATTAGAGAAATTAAAAAAAAGAGACTCCAATGGGCAGGACATGCATGGAGAAAGGAAGGAACTCTAATTCGAATGGTTCAATGTGGGACTCCCTAAGGAAAGAGACCCTTGGGACGACCTCGACTAAGATGGGAAGACCAAGTCAGGAAGGACGTACAAGTGACAGACCCAAGTGCCGATTGGAAGGTCTTAGCGTTGGATAGAGTGAAATGGCAAGATAT